GTTTTGATCTGTTGTCCTTTCATTGGTATTTAATATTCTGTCTTTATTTTAAAAAATTAACTCATGTTATAATAGTTCTTAATTTCTTTTCTTTTTTCCTTTTAACACATTCAGTGATTCACTTTTTAGTTTCCAAAGTACTAGCTCACTATATTTTTACTTAGTTTTAAATATGCTATATCACAAAATTTCTAAATCATTTTTAAGGCTATCATGATATGGGAAACAGTCCCTTGAGTGCTTCATTCTGAGATCAGAGAATAATTTCTACTTTGGCTTCTTATCTGAAAGGTTCTGTGCAGTGAAATTAACAAAACAATTAGCAATAATCATAGAATAAATTCAGCAGTGAGTTTTCTTAAGATGATTCATATTTTGTTCTTCAATAAATCCTGAAACAACAATGAGCATATAACTGATTTTTGAATCATAAATACTACAAGGTGTTAAAGTGAGAAGAATTGTGTTCACAATGCACAGGTTCTTCGAGTTGCATAATTTATAATTTACCAGAAGAGTACTTTCTTGGATATTTTGGTAATTAGGAACAAAGGAACTGGTCAAAAATCAACTCTTTGGATATGAAAAGATGCAGGTTCTTCTTTGCTACTGTTTTTTCAAAGCAGGAGGAAAAGAGATTAATATAGGATATAAAGATGAGATGATTTGAAAACTACAAAATGTAGGTGAAAACCACTCCCTTCATATAGCTAGATTTTTTGCACTAAGACTTCAGCTTCTGTGTAGTGGTTTCCATTTGATTGATTCTTTTCTTTTCTTGTTCAGGAAAAGGTAAGGAAGAAAATGAGCCTGATTCAGAACAACTGAATTTCGGTAAGAGTTTGCCTTCATCAAGTACGAAAAAGACAACTAGATCAAAGGTAAAATCTAAAAGGAGATAACTGTCAGCTAATTGATGGTAGCTTATAATGAAATAATTGAGTTGCATAGGGCCTTGAAAAGTTGTTGCGGCTGGCTTTGAACTTGAGATTCTCCTGCCTCAGCCTCCTGAGCTGCTTGGATTACATGAGTGCACCACCACACCCAGCACCAGAATGATTTCTTAATTTTTTTGTCACTCTGATGTTGAAGATGACCAAAGTAGGGCTTTGAAAGAGTGAGGCTTTTTGAAACTCCTTTTAATGCTGCTCTGTGAAAGTGTTGTGCACGCTGTTCCACTCCACCCTACTCCCATTTTGGGTGGGAGGCAGGGTATTTCCATCTACAGAGTTTACTCTGCTGGTCCCTACTTCAAAACCGTTCTCTATGATGCTGTAAACTGGCATCTCTAGGGTAGATGTAGATGTAGGGACTTAATTGTTTCTTAAGCTGTTAGCTTAGACATGAACTTTGCAAAACTGATTGCCACCACAATTCTGTGCCAGTAGATTGAAAAAACTGGAGCCTTTATCATTGACCAGGTGGTTTTGTACCTTCAGTCCAGCTTAACTTAGTCTGACTTTCTTTTCTTCTGTTTTTGAAGTAAGCTTGATAGGACAATTTGCTAAATTAATGGTACTGGGTATAATTTATTATTCCAGCAGGGAAAATGAAAATTGTCATCTGAAAGTAAAAGTTAACAAAACATTTTTTGTCTTTTTGAGAAAATAATTTTGTGCTAGTTTTATAACCCCCCATTTCCTTAGAACAAGATGAAAATAGAATATCAACTGTGTTGCCAGGCAGTATTAGTTATGGTAAAATGACTCTTGAACTGGAAGGATTGTGACAAGGGATGATAAGTGTCTTCTTGAAAGTACAGATGCGCTCTTGCCTGAATATGGCAGGTAATACTGGTTTCTTTGTAACATGAGGCTTCTAAGACGAGGTGACTCTTGTATTCATCCATGTAATCTCACTGTCTGACACCAAAGTGAAACTAGATTACTCTTGGGACATTTGATGCTTCTGCCTAAGACTGTCCATGGTTCCTTTCCTGTGCCCTGCAAAGATCCCCTAGTACTTTGATTGGAATTTCAGATCTTGTGAATGTCCAGGTGAATGGAAGATAACTATTGGTGATTTAACAGGGTGGGAAAATCATACTGAATCCTGAAGTTTATTCAAGGTGGATTAAATCCCCAAATGTGAAAAACAAAACTTAGAAAAATATATAGTAGAATAATATTTTTCTTAATTAGCTAAGGAAGAATTTTCAAAAATTTGTATTTTATGTATTATTCAAAGTGGCAATTACTCAGTCTATTAGAATTTAATAAATCTATAATGGTCATGTTATTGCTAAAATATATATTTATATTTCAGGAAATGTTTCTTCATGTTAAGATGAAAACTCAATTTATATATTTTAACCTGTTCAACAAAATTAATATATTTGATAAAAGTGCCAGGTGGTTGTTTACATGTATTAATATCTTATTTTTAAAAATAATTGTTTTGGGGGTCAGTGTTCTGGAATGATGACTGTATTAATGTCTTCTAGGATTAGTACACATACATACAACACACATTTTTCAGGAGAGGAAAAAATTAATAAAGTTTACAAATGAAAATTATGAAAGATATTTACGAAAAAATGAAAAGAAAACTCAGATTGTAACTGGAGATATTGTATGAGAAATAGGCAGGAATTAAAGAGTAGAAAATTAGGCAGAAGCCAGAGGTATTTGTATATGTGCATATGTGTATGTTTTTCCTCAGAGTGCTTTCTTGTTCCTTTGTTCAGCCTCTTCTTTTTTCTTTTTTTATATATACAACAGTTACCTGTTACCATATTCTGTTACTATATTAACACAACATTGGCTACAATTATTTTTATGCTTACTTGTTTTGTATCTGTCCATGAGAATATACCCTTCATAATGTCAGAACATATGCTTCTCTTGTTCACCATTTGTCCTATCAGGACATGTTTTTCTTGTTCACTGTTTTGTTCTAACACTTATAATAGTATCTGCACATACTGTGTCCCCCCAAAAGAATTGTCAAATTAATAAATTTTGAGCTTTAGGGAGGGGAAAGGAGGGGGTAGGAATGATGGTAGAATGAGTTAGACATCATTACCCTAAGTAAATGTATGAAGACATGAATGTTGTGAAAATACTTTTTGTACAATCAGTGACTTGAGAAATTGTACCCTATATGTGTAATATGAAATGAATTGCATTCTGCCATCATGTATAACAAATTAGAATAAATAATAATTTAATAAAAAATAAATAAAAATTAAAACAAAACAAAAAAATTAAGAAATGAAGCAAGGGCTGGGGCTGTAGCTGAGGGGTAGGGCATTTGAGACACTGGATTACATCCTTAGCACCGCATAAAAATAAACAAATACAACAAAGACATTCTGTCCATATACAAGTACAAAAAATTAAAAAAAAAATGAGGCAGAGTCAAGGCCTAAAATGCTAATTACTGAATCTCTATTTCTTAAATAATTTATTTGTTTTTATTTTAATTTAACTCATGGATGCTTTACTACTGAACCCCAGCCCTTTTATATTTTATTTTTGAGAAAAGGTCTCACTAAGTTGCCAAGGCTGGTCTTGAACTTGTGATTATCCTGCCTCAGGCTTCCAAGTTGCCCAGTCTCTGAATATTTATTTTAATGTGATTTTATTCCTCTAATTAAATTTGATGTACTCTACCATAGAGCCAGGTACTATGAAGAATGTTTAGTCAAAGAGGACTAAAATCTTTCCATTGGATATTACAAAATCTCATGGGAGGGACATATGTAGAATTACTGGATTAGATGTTGCAAATACTGAAGTAAAGATAAATCTAGTGTTAAGGATTTTATCTTCACAGTAAATTAAATGTCATAAGAACTTATAGTAATCTATTCTGGGCTGCAATAAAAAGCAATCTGTTTCAAATTAAGTTTTTTTATTAATGAGTAATTCAATATGAATCACTTGTATTTACATAAAGTACTCTATACTTTGTTTTGACCCATTGGAAAATATTAACTAGGTAGATATACATTTCAAGAGATTTTCTAGGAGTATAAATAACATCATTATTATGTTTTAATTCCATCATGGAAAATCTTATCTTAAGAAGCTATAGAAATCATATTTCATTTAACTATATTTCTTAAAATCACAAGGTTTGATTTCTTTCTCATGCCTATAGGTTTTACAAAAGAAAGTTAACTCAGAGAAGGTGAAACCTTCTAAGAAATTCTCACTCAGAAGTAGTGCTGCTGAGAATCTTTTTCAAGAGCCTTCAGAAAGGTATAACTAATGTACTTATTTAGTGAATTTTGTTTATCCTATTCATATTCACACTTTATTCATATCCCTTCATATTTTGGTTGGGTTTAGAATTTAAATAAATAGAAGCCTAGCAGATGAAAAGGGAGGGAAGAAAATTTTAGGCTGAGGGAAGAAGTTTGAGTAAAGGTAAGGACTTGTGGAAATACCTCATTGGTGGTGAGAAATAAGTGTCAAGGGTGATAGGAATTGGAGAAGATATCATTTGGGCCTGTTGTGTGAAGGAACTCAATATAAGTAAAGCCAAGTATTCATTTTATTAGTTTATTCACTTGAAAATGAAGCATAGGTAGGGTCTGTCTATATTTCTAGAACTAGGATTTCTGTTAACACAGGCAGGATAAAAGTGGTAGGAAATGAATGTCAAGTAGATGATTGCAGTAGTCAAATAATAGTGAGGAGAAAAGAGAACTGTAAGATTATTCACAGAATAAAAATAAAAAGGTAATCATTTTTGCATAAAGTGCATGTAGGAAATTAGTATAGATGAGATGAAAAAGTAGGCAGGGGCTTGTTTGCCAGCATCCTTAAAGTGTTCAACAGGGAGCCTTGATTTATTCCAAAGTTGACTTGCAGTTATAATTAAATTTGTGTTTTAGGAATACTTTTATCTGGACATTGGTTATTAGATCCAGAAATCAAATTAGGAGACTTTTGCTAAGTGAAGTTGAAATAAAAGTACAAGAGCCTAGCAAATAGAAGAGGTGAGTAAATTGAACAGTGAGAGGTTGGAAAAGAAACAGAAAGTGAATATGGTTAGTGTTTAAAAAATCTTTTAGCAATTATTAGCATGACAGAGGTAGTTTAAAGGGTTTCCTGTATTTATTGGTATGTTATAATTATGCATAATAGGGGATTCATTATATTATATTCATACATGTACATAATTTGATCAGTCTTATTCCCCAGTGCCTTTCTGTCCCTCCCCTTTTTCTTCCCCTGGTAAGATTACTCTACTGATCCTCTTCCTTATTATTATCATCATTATTTCATTATAATTTTGTTTGTACACATATACATGGGACTCATTGTGGTATATTTATTCATAGATGTAGCATAATTTGGTAGATTTAATTTCCTAATACTTCCCCATTTTTAAGATGAGATAAAGTTGATTTTTTATGTGAAATAATCTATAGATAATAAGAAAAGATGAGTTATAAGAAAAATTTTTCAGAGGAACCAGAAGGTATGGGATTAAAAAAGTGGAAGGATTAATTTTAAACAGGGAAAAAGTAAAGAGTAATGAAGAATGTTGATGCATTTGAGTGTATGTTTTAAAATAGTAAATTTTGTCTTGCATTGTCTAGGAGGGACTACTTTTATACTAAGGCAGAGGATTAAGATAAGAACCATATGAGGGTAGAGGCTTGGAGATAGCTGGAGTGGACAAATTTTAGAGGAAATTGACCAGAGGTATACCAGTGTTTTCCAAGTGGCTCTTTGCTAGTGTCAGAAATCCCAGTGGCTCCAGTATTGTTCCTTTCACTGCCAAGGTAAGGAGGAGAGAAGGTGAATAGATATAGATTGAGACAAGATGATTAGTTTGCAAGCCAGGTAAAAGTGATAGGAGATGAAGTTTGTAATCAGACATAGAATTTTAAAATTATCTCAGAGGGCATTAGTCCAATTGATGACAATGGAGTAGATGGTTGAACTGAAATAGATGTGACTCTTTATTGAATAATGAATATACATATAAGAGTACATATATTAGACAATGTGTGTATATATTCTTTGAACCACATACACATTTTTTTTTCTAGTGAGAGTGATCACAGTGTGTGGAATGCCAGTGCCGCCTTGAAAAGAGACAGGTGGAACAGTGATGATGAAGAGTCTGCAGGGACATCAAAGACTGACTCTCCTGAATTTGCTGGTATGATGTAATACTATTTGTAGTAGTAAGCTCTGGAAGGGGCTCTACTTCAGACCAATTGGAGGTCTGTGAGATTGTGTCTGTGAGTATGTGTCAACTTTCTTTGTGTCTTTAGCTTCTTGGGGTTATGTACTGTTGTACTGACCTACATTTTCTTTCAGCAATATGTTGCTTATGTCTAAATACTTTTTTAGCACTTGTGCTGTTCCTGACATCTCTTTCTGTCATTGACTACAAGTGAGCCAGTGTTATGTGCTGTCACTCTTTAAATGGACCTGTTCTTACCTTAGATTTCAGACTATTTGGTTACCTTCTAATTTTTCAGCTCTCTAATGTGTTCAACAAAATCATAGCTTAGTATTTTTTTCAACTTGGATGTAGGTAGTGATGCTCATCCTAGGTTTGTACATGTTAGGCAGAAATGGCATTTTTAAATCTAGATACATTTGAAAATAAGAACACATTCCTTTATAAATATGTCTTTTTAACAAGTGTACATTTACCCTATAACTTTTAAAAGCTAAATGTAATCCTCAATTGTATGACTGTACCATAATGTGTATATGTGATCTTGTTGGACATGTAAATGTTATATTAAAACTTCCATGGAGTCACGTCTTTGGGAGTATTATTAGCTTGAGTTGAAAAAAAGAAGGAAGCTTTATTTACATTGCTACCACTGCAGCAACAACAGGAAATCCTGAGCTCTCAGATCAATTCCTAGCCAAGCAGATGGGTTTTAAAGGAAAAGAGGTTATGTTCTGAGCCACAGAAGAACTAGTAACTCACAGTCATTATTTTTTCTTAGTTCTGCTGAGGTTCAGACATGATGACTAGATGGTTTGTTTTTGTTTCACTTTATAATGGTCTCTGAGTAACAAATAATGTTGGTGCTATATCAAATTTGTTTATTTTCAAAAGTGAGTACTATGACCTAGCTGTTAGAGTAGTGCATTTTTCAGGGAAAGACAATCCTTTCTCAATACTCTCCTTTTCAGTTTCAGTTTAGGAGTAAAGTTAGACTCCTCCTGGGGTCTGTTTTTTTAAGTCTATAATAGCAAAATATTAATACCCAGAAAATATAAAACTGTATTTTGTTAAAATAAAAGAACCAAATAGAAAAATGATCAAAAGCCATTAACAGGTACTTCACAGAAGAAGTATAAAAACGTGTTTCAACTTTGAATCAGATAATAAAAAATCAAATCACAGTGAGATAACAATATATACTGATTAGATTGTTTAAAAAGTATTATAGTCAATATTGGTGAGTTTGTGGCATGATGGAAATCATTTTCAGTTACACACAGGGTACTCCTATTCCTTCCCTAAAAGAGGATATAACATTTTATGTTTTTCGTTTTTTTCTGTATTCTCCAACTTTTTCCCTTTAATATTTTACAAAAGATAACAAATGCTTAGTTAATTTATTATATCAAATGTTCATATCAAAAAAGAAGAATCCTGCATTTGGATTTGATACAAATCCTTGATTTGTATTAAGTATGTTTTTGTGATATTTTATAAAAATGGAACTTAGGAAAATATTTTAACTCCATTGTTGTTAATATGTAAACATATAATTGATTTTTATATATTGTCCTTGTATCTTATTTATTTATTTATTTATTTATTTGGTACCAGGAAATGAACTCAGGGGCACTCAACCACTGAGCCACATCCTTAGCCCTATTTTGTATTTTATTTAGAGGCAGGGTCTCACTGAGTTACTTAGTGACTTGCTAAGTTGCTGAGGCTAGCCTTGAACTCAGGATCCTCCTGTCTCAGCCTTCCGAGCCTCTGGGATTACAAGCGTGTGCCACCATGCCTGGCTGTCCTTGTATCTTTCAAAAACCTTCCTGAACTTATTAATTTGAGAAGCTCGTTTCAATGTAAATGTTCATGTTGTCAGACAGTTTAATTTTTTTACCTTTCCCTGTGTGTTTACCTATGGCATCTTTTACTTGACCTAATGTACTGGCTTGGAACTTTGTTACAATGTTAAAGCTATTTATTAGGTTGAGGAAGTGCCTTCTAATTCGAGTTTGCTGAAGAGTTATCATGAATGGCTTTTGAATTTTGTTATATGAATTGAGATGATCATGTAATTTTTCAGAATGAGATACCTATTTGATTTTTAAAATGTTGAGCCTGATTTACATTCCTCGGAGAGGTCCAACTAGGTCATGGTGTATTATTGTTTTTTATGCTATTTGATTTGATAGTATTTTCCTGAGGATATTCATTTGTTGATTTGTGTGTGTGTGTGTGTGTGTGTGTGTGTGTGTGTGTGTGTGTGTGTGTTATTTCCTTGGTTTTAGTGTCAGGTTTTATTGCTGACCCTACAAATTCAGATGGGAAGTATTCTCTACTCTTTATGTTCTGGAAGATTTTACATAAAATCTATATTATTGCTTCTTCATATGTTTGGTGGAATTCATTTAAGCCATCTGGGCCTGGAATTTATTTGCTTGTGATGTTTTAAAATACATAGTTTTAGATTCCTGGGGTTTTCATAGAAAAATATCCCAGACTAGGAGGCTTGAACAACAGAAATTTATTTTCTGACAGTTCTGGAGGCTGGAAGTCAAGGTGTCATAAGGGTTGGTCTCTCCTGAGGCCCTGTCTGTGGCTTGTAGAGCTTGCCTTCTTTCTGACTTCACATTATCTTCCACTTATGTATGTCTGATTCTTGTTATCTTCCTTTAAGGACCTTATTTTCACTTAGTTACATCTTCAGAGATCCTATCTCCAAATATAGTAACATTTTGAATTACTGGAGATTAGGACTTCAACATGAATTAGGGAGGAGGCAGACATAATTCAGTCCGTAACAACATTCTGTTTCTTTGTTACAGTACAGTATAGTTTTAGGTTCTCTTTCTTGCTTTAATGAGGCTTTACAGTTTGAATTTGTTCCACGTTCAATGAATTTGTTCCATCCATGTAAATTGCCTAATCTATGGTAATAGAGTTGTTCATAATATTACCATATTAGTTTTTAATATCTGTAATGTCTTAATTGATCACTGTTTTAGTCAGCTCTTTCACTGCTGTGACTAAAAGGCCCATTCAGAACAGCTATAGAGGAGGAAAAGTTTATTTGAGAGCTCATGGTTTCAGCTTTATTCCCTGGGGCTCGAGGTGAGGCAGAACATCATGGTGGGAGAGTGTGGCAGAGGAAAGAAGAGAAAGTCTCCACTTGCTTTAATCTGTAAGAGTTAGGGGAAATTGATCCTGGGTGAGGTTTGTACCTTTTCTGCAGAAGCTGCTACATCCTAATGCACTCATGCACTATGAGGGAGAATATTTTTAGTTCCTAATTCTGTCTCTAGTTGCTCTCCTGAGCTCGCATTAGGTCCTTGTAAAGTATTTTTCTGTTTTTTCCCCTTTCTATTAATTTATGTACACATGCATCTGTCCCATCAATAAGTTTATTTTTAGCCATCTGCTTTATTTCTTGAAGTGTTAATTATAAATTAATTCAGCAACAGTTTCTCTTTAGGTGAGCAGACTATTGCTCACCTCATTATATTGTTTTATTATCTTATTTTAAACTCTTTTAAGAAAGTAATTCATTTTCTTTTCTTTTTTTTATGGGGTAT